CCGCCTCGATCGCTTTAATCCGTTCGCTCTCCTCGCTTGCGTAATGTCGCAGATAACTCCTTCGAGTTCGCTTCGAATTGCTGATTCAGCAAAAGAAGAAAAAAGAGCGCTAAAAATAGAATGCATAGGCGAGAACTCCCTATCATCGGCGCGATATTGGGAAATAATGTGAATCTAGTATTCCCAATATTGTAAGATGGACGCCTTCTCTTAATTAGCCACTATATCTATTAAATTTAGCAATATTGCTCTAATATCGATACACTGTTAGACCAATGTTCTTATTACATTGCTAAATATTGGCCAATGCACTTGCAATATAAATCTAATATCATATAATTATTATCGTGCAACATTTATTCCAATGGCAATATTGACTTTACGTTGGACAATATCGGCCAATGCATTGGACCAATGTTCAGCCAATGCACTGTGCTACCAGGGTCTCTTCACTTGCACAATATCGTAGACAGCTCCTTCGATTTTGCTTCGAACTGCTGCTTCGGCAGAAGGAAAGAAAAGTGCGCTAAAAATGAAATGTATAGGCGAGAACTGTGTAGTTAATTTTTATCGGCTTCGATCGATTCGATCCTATCGCTCCCTTCGCTTGCACAATATCGTAGATAACTCCTTCGGCTTCGCTTTGCAATATTAAGGCGTGGATAGCGTGCGACTGTTATTAGCTTCATTTATCTTTTAAGCGAGTCGCGCGCGTGTTATCTTATCGAGCTGGTATTCAATACACACTTATCTAAGCGTTCCGCTTCGCCAAGGAAAAAGAATAAGGACGATTGTTTTGCCACATTTGCGGCTGCTAATTAACGAGAAACTGCAAGCCACTTAATTCCTCAATTAAATCACGCGACTGTGGTGTACGAGACACTTGCTCGTTATTTCCGAATCCAGAATTGATTCCCGCGCGCGTCCCTGTCAGCGATAAATACGGATATTTCCGTGGCAAAACTATTTTTTAACAACGCAACTTCCTAGCGATAACGTATCGCAACGCCGATACGTTCAACCCCTGCGGAATATGTATTTCGACGATAAAACGGGAGAGTGTTTAACGACACGTGACACGAGTTCGTGGAAATTATAGACTTTATTTTTAGAATATCTCTAAATATCATAAAACAACGTAAACATTCACAACAGATGGGAATAGGGTGTTATTTATAATAGTAATAATAATGTCGTTACGTTACCGTAGTAATTAATCGTTACGAATATATCGTCATGACGTATTTATAATTATGTATAAGTAAGACTTCCTTTTATTTATTTATTTCCTTTTTATAATAATTACTCATCGCACTTCTCTTCACACGACAATGATAATTATAATAGTGAAGACGATATCAATAATGATAAGAACCGCGTAACCATAATAATAATGATAATAATAATAGTACCGATGCATCTATATACTCGCGTGTCATGTATATGTATGTATAAACAAACACAATAAGCACGCACGCGTGCGAGCGCGCGTACGCGCGCGTGCTTATTCTTTTCTTTAAGAAGAGGGATAGAGTCACAATGGCGCTAAACAACGTATGCGATGCAGTCCTCGCTCTTTGTTCTGTGTGTTTTTTTTTTAAATCGTTCTCCACGCGCGATCAGAGTTCTATAAAGTGTTTTAGCCAAAAGATCTTAGAAGTAAGTCTCGTAGTAGTAAGTAGGTAATAATAAACGCACGTGTATGTACAGTTTTCTCTTCCACCGTCGTTGAATGCCATTTCTCGAGCGGGCCGCGAGAATTATTCGAGTCCGATCACGGACCCCCGCGGCTCTTGCTGACGGGCGTCGCCCGATGGATGTGCCCCAAGGATCATCTCCTTGAACCCTCCCTCTCTCTCTCGCTCTCCCTTTCTTTCGTAATGTAGCGATTGATTTAGAGCAAGACGCGAACGAAAGTACATACTTCTCTCCCGCATTTCCCAAATTTCTGGGGCTCCTCCGCGAAAGTTTCGTAAAATAAAATGTCGAGAACGATGCGTCGCAGTACTTTAAACGTTAGCGGTTTCACCGCTCGAAGGCTCTCGGACTCACGTGTTTCGAGTGTCACGGTAAGTTACTTACCGCAGGCACTTCTCCGCGCGTATTACGAAACGGCAACGCCGGGTCTTCGATAATTCGCCGAATTACCGAGTCGGAAAACAATTTTCGCCGCGGAACATTTTCTTCGCTGTCGTACTTTCCTTCAGCAGAGAAAGAGAGAGACGTGTACCCCGAAGATATATCTCTGCTCGAAAGGCCAACGGCTTTTTCCCCGTGCCAATCGGTTTATAATTTGTCAACTTTTTTCCACGCGACGATCGTTAACAAGTTTAACGAGTCTCTCTCGAGTCTTGCGATCCTCTCCGTTACGCAAAAACATGGCGGAACACGAATCCGGCTCTCGCAGATCTGCAAAATTGGATGGGAGGCACACACATACACACATACGCACACATTTCCGATGCAATTTATTATATTTTTCTGTACGGTATTTTTTTTCCATCCTCAAGAAGATACGTCACATCCACCGGGCGACGCTCGCGTGAAAGGAACGAGAGAAACGGAGTTCTAAGGCTACATTATTTCTTCTCTCTTTTTTTTATTTTGGTTTGGAAAAGAGTTAAAGTGTCGCGCAATCCCCAATGCGTGTCTTCTCCTCTCGCGGGCGCCCGGTCGTGCGTCCCGGGCGGCAGACGTGCGCCGCGTTTTTCACACGCGGAGAAATTCGCGGGACCTTATCTATCATGTAAAACGCCAAACACGACGCTGGCACAGAGCGTAGAAAATAGATTTAATTAAACGACACGCTTTAGACAGGTACAGTTATTAAATAGGGAAATGCGATCACGCCGTGCTGTCGCAGATATTGCCGCGCGAAATAATCAGAAAAAGAACGAGAGAAAGAGAGAGAGAGAGAGAGAGAGAGAGAGAGATTAGATGAACAATTTGACATTCGTGAAGAGGTAAATCCTACACTCGAGCTTCTCGACCGGACCGGATATAGCCGGGGAAAAATGTTAGAATTTCTGACGGAACAAGGGAATCTCTCGATAAGAATACGTTAACGGCGACGTTAATGTACCCGATCCCTTCGTACATCTCTCTCGGGACGCGCCTCTTCCTTTCTTTTTATTGTTTTACAGTTCTCAGTCGTTCGTTAAAGAGAGCGTCAGGGTATCTATCTTCCGCGCATCATTTTGCAGAAAACAATCGTGCGAGTGATATGCAGGCGGGCGCAGTCGCACGCCTCAAATAATCCGGCCCGCGACGCGGCGTCCGTACGAGCGTCAGGCCCCGTTGTACCAATGTCGGTTAGCGTCACAATCGCAATTAGCCAAATCTCAACTGAATCTCCCCAATTGTCCTGCGCGCCCGAAGCTCTAGAGCGAGCGAGGCCCGAGGTGTCGGAGAAGAAAAACTACATCCGTGCGAACGTGTTTCGCTCTTTTGCGTCCTCTTATCGCGGAGATGAGAGGAGCCTCTCTAGCGCGGCTCGCCAATCCGAGTTAGGGCCCGGGCAGAATGGCTGTCTTGTACCCTTAAGAAGTAAGACAGTTTATTGTGCGTTACCTCAAGACAAAGGCTTAAAACCTAAAACATTGTCTTAAGGCTGCCCAAGGAG